AGGCAATCGTTAAGCGAGGCACCACTGTATTATTAATTTTAATGTCTCTTCAAAATATATAGTAGTTGGAATCTCTCCTTTTTTATATAGTTACAGAAACAACAGAACATCAAAAATCGGTGTCCGGTTTGCTCAGCCCAACCAAAAGACAGTCAGTTGTTGACTTGTCCAAATACTATGGCTACCATCCAGCACACAATGCTTCTGCAAGCCTGTTTGGATCTCTGGCTAGAGAAAGTGCAGCCATTCTGAAAAAATGCTACAATACATTTCCTTTTCTCCTGATTTCCTGTGAAAGTGTGGATAACCCTAACTTATTCGTCTCAGTTCAGATCAATAAACTATACAGTTATATATTGTTATAGTAAATGGCTCTTTGCGAAATATGCTGGCCAGTGTCCTACTGCTAGTCTCAACTGGAGAGCAGGACCACTTAATCAATTGTTGAATGGCTCATCAACGTTGATGTAAATTCCATTGAGCCAATTGGTTTGCTTTCGTTATAGTTGCCATAGTGCCGTTTGAGGGAAGGATCTTCTTAGAACAGCAGAGCTGGAAGAGACCCTCTGGATCATTGAGTCCAGCCCCCTTGTTAAGGAGGCACCATGGGAGGAATCGCACTCCCAACCTCTGGCTCCACAGCCAGAAACCTAAACCACTGAGCTATTCAGCAGTTAGGGATGGGGACTCAAGTCATGGGATTCACAGTCAAGTCAGACTTTTAAGTTGCACCAGTGACTCAATCCAAACTCAGCTAGGGTTTGAGTCTTGTTTTTTCAATGACTCAGACTCAGCTCATGACTTGGAAATCACCCACCCTACCCTTTTTTATATATAGGGGAAAAACTGGTTTTTAATAGGGATTCAGACTTGGGCCTTGGAACTCAGGACTTGGACCCAAGGACTTGGACCCGGACCCAAAGACTCGCCAACATCCCTGATGAAAGACACAATCCAATGATGTATAATAGCTAGAGGGCCACAGACTCGTTAGCCCTGCATTAAAGCCATTTCACGGATATGGATGTTTGCACTGAAGGAAGTCAAATCTCAGCTAAGTGTTCCAGGCTGTAGCTGTAATCTTTTTGTTCATTTGTTTTGAGAGTCCATCTTTAACAATGTTTGCAAACATAATTGCTTCCTTCATACATTCATTGGTCTACGGTGGTTTCAAAGTTTTGTTGAATATAACATAAGAAGCCAACAGCGGAGATGATGCACTTTTAATTCCATGTTTAATTGTAACTCATATGTATTATTATTTTTTAGATTAAATCACACAGACTGATTTCTCACCATGAATCGTGCTTTTAGCCGAAAGAAAGGTAAGTAGCTTGAACTGTATTATATTAGAAAAGTAAAGAGAAGAACGGTGCTGAAGAGAAAGGCAGACCTTGAAGTGGTGCCATATGGCATATTTATTAATAGAAGATATTGCCCATTTTTTGTGATAAAATATCTGTTCAAGGGATGGGTGAAATGTTGAATGTAAATTGGATTACTGAAGATGTGCCTTTTGAAAAGGAGAATGCGGAACTGCTGACCCTGAAGAACACACATTTGCAAAATGTATCAGGTAGAGTGCTTTTATTAAAATAACACATTAATCATAACACTTAGCTTTTCTTAACCACCTATAAGAAAATATTGGACCGTAAATTATTGAATTAGTGGGGAACAATAAAGACCTGTCCTGCTGCTTACAATTAGGGCTGATTGCTTGGCATTTGTCTTCTTTAAAAGAGGTGCCTCTTCAGAATTTCATTCTACATGTTTCAGAATTTCATTGAGAGAGACATTTTACTTAAACCCTTGGGCAGATATAAAATTCTCCAGTCCATTCTCCATTGCCTTTATTTTCCCTATTTGTCTATTACGTTTGAAATGCAAGTGCCTTTCTGTTATATATTTTTGTCGCCAACGTCCTGTGTAGTCAATTGCACTAGAGTAGGCCCAGTGAATCAATAGGGATTTGTTGAATCGACTCCTGCATGAGTTGCATTGATTCAAATGGACCGACTCAAACTGTGACTTACTAAACATCTGTTGAAATTTAGATTTCATTGATCAAGTCTTTTCTGGCTTATATCTAACAGCATCAGGAATATTTATGTGAGGGAAACAGCTTGAGAATTGCTCTTCATGTATTGTAGAGGGAATTCATTCATTAAAGTGTTGTTTTTTAAATTAAGCTCTTAGTTGAAGAGCTATTTAAATAATTTTAGAAACATCTTCCCCCATGCATCCATCTATGAAGCAATGGCATTCTGTGTGTAGAATTTATTTGCTGTAGATGACACGTAGTACTCCTACCTTCCTAACTACAGAACACAGTATCAGTCTTTGCAATTGAGACAAAGGCCTAATTTATTTTTTAAAGGTTTTAAATAACAAAGGCAAAGCTGCTGTTTAGATTTAACACTGAACTATGGTTTAGCAGTCCTTCTCAACCTTGGGTCCACATATGTTCTTGAACTACAACTCCCAGAAATCCTGGCCAGCACAGCTGGTGATGAAGGCTTCTGAGTGCTTTTGTCCAAGAACCTCTGGGGGCCCATGGTTGGAAAGTATTGGAGCTATAAGAATGAGCTTGAGTCTTGCAGATCCCCCTCCCTTCCACCTTCATTGCAGCTGCAAGGGTAAGAGGGGAAGAATTAGTTGCCGTTTTCAACCAGCTGCAATTGCTTACTGGTCTAAATCTATGGTAGCACCAGGTTTTTACACCACATCCCCAATCAGCCTTCTCCAGCAGCAGAATTATGCGCTTTAGGGCTTTGCAGTCTCTAGGGCAGATTAATAGTGATTTTTAAAATAGGGGAGGGCTATAGAAAGAAGTGGGTCCTGTCCATCTCTCGCATATACTCACAGAAGTTCCGCATGTGGCTGTAGCATCCCTTAAGACAGTGGTCCCCAGCCTTGGGCCTTCAGATGTTCTTGGACTACAACTCCCAGAAGGTCTTCACCACCACCACTGCTGGCCAGGGTTCCTAGGAGCTGAAGTCCAAGAATATCTGGAGGCCCAAGGTTGGGGACCACTGCCTTAAGAAAATTCACCTATCCCATCCTCACTTTTACAGCTATATTGTCCGTGTGGAATGTCAAGTGGAAAGCGTGTGATTTTTTTTTGAATATTTATTTTATTAAATGAAAACATACTGTAAGAAACAAAAGAACAACAAACAAAACAATAAACGAATAAAATACAGTAATCATACACAAACAAAAGTGCTCCTCCCACACTGGGACCAATGGAGAACTAGACCTTTTCCTTTATTTCAAGGATTCACCTTCCCCTTCCAAAACTGTAATGTTTCTTGCGATTGTGTTCTTCCCTTCCCCTTTATTAATGCATAATCAATAAAATCTCAATAAAATTTCTGCAAAAGTATGCCTTTTAAGCACTCCTTTTTCTACTTTAATAATGCATGCTAATTTGTCATTAATAGCTATAATCCATACCTCTGTATACCATTCACTTATTTGAAAATTATGTTTTATTTTTCAATTTGTTGTTGTTGTTTAGTCGTTAAATCATGTCCAACTGGTTGTTGTGGGTTTTTCGGGCTCTTTGCCATGTTCTGAAGGTTGTTCTTCCTAACGTTTCACTAG